TATTATTATTTCGTCGGTTTTCTGTTGTATAAACATTTCCTTCCGTGTCCCAACCAGAGTTCTAAGGTCAGAAATGGCTTCGTAACAATTTCCCTTGGTCAGTTTTGTAAAAAGGATTAACATAAGACCACAACCAGTTTACACTGACAAAGCTATTTGTAATGTGTAAGATGTACGTGTAAATACAATTTTTTTTTAAATTTCTTTAAGGCATGGGCTACCAAGAATCACTTCCCAGAGTCTATCGGAACTTTCCACAATTACTTCAAGGGCTCCAACGACAACAAATTTTTGATCTACTCATGAGTTACATTTTTGAGATTTCCATTTCAAGATCCTTGTATTTTGATATTTTTACGATCTTCAAAGATACATTACAATCGACAGGGGCTGCCATGTCAATCAGAAATCCCATTCTGTTCTTGTGATCTTTGATCACGATGTCTGGGCGATTAGAGTGATAGTTCTGTCTGTCTGTATTTTAAAATCCCCTAAAATTGTCAGAAGTCCTATCCTTGTGACCAGATCTAGATGGTCTTCATAGAATTTTTTTGCAGTTTCCTTTCTGTAAATGTTATAGATTTTCCAGTGAATGTATTGGCCCACTCATTCATAGCTAGTTTTATATTCGGAGAATGCTAATACCATGCGACCTGATACAAGATTATTATTATTATTAGCGCCAACAGCAGCAGCAATATTTCCAAACCATTCCCAAGTGTAAATAAGGAATAAAAAAAAAATATTGTCACAGTTCTCTAGATTTTATTAAAATCTTTGATGTCGTAGAATTGAACTGCGAAAATCGAATTGATTTTGCTATTCAGGGGCGTGGTTGGGGTGACTTAGATAAAGTCGTCACGTTGGACATGGGAAGCGATTCGTAATTCTAAGTGCGCAGAGGACGTAAAAACTCAGAGACTGATCAAATTTCAGTAAGAGAAAAAATAAACTTATTACAAATCTGATTACACCAGGAAGAAGATCAATACAAAATGTCTGAATTCTTGAGACAAGTAAGACGATGTCTCTATCACTTCAGGGTACACACAGTTCCAATTTGGAGATATCTATAAAGTAAGAGAGACGAATATAGTGATCTATAACATAAGTTTATATAAATGTAATGTATAATTATAGAAGCAGACACAGACAGAGACACACATACACACATACACACACATATATATATATATATATATATATATATATATATATATATATATATATATATATATATATATATATAAGCACAGTCTTTCTTGGGTTCTATGATAAGCTTTCAAAATTGCGAAAAATGTAAATATTGAAGTCTATTTATATCTGAAATAGAAATACAAGATACCGAAAATATGAAACTGAATGTATGAGATTTTAGTAGTCACAAGTTGAACAATAATAATAATAATAATAATAATAATAATAATAATAAATATTATTATTATTATTATTACGACGACGCTAATAAAAAACAGTATAATGATTTGACGGAGAAATAAAAAATCTTCGATAGATATATATGTAGAGACAGATAAAATAACTTAATCAAAGAAAGACAGACAGACAGACAGACAGACAAAGTTAGCTGGATATGAATTGTACAGATTAAAATGTGAGACAGGCAGAAAAATTGAAAGATAGATAACTGGTAATGTGAAATTTTACACAAAATGGGTATAACATATTCTGAATAAATGCTGGTACATGGTTCAGGATTTCTATACCATTAATAACCCACACAGTACTGATATATATATATATATATATATATATATATATATATATATATATATATATATATATATGTACGTACTGATTTGAAAATTTCTCCGATTTAACCGGTAGAGAAGACAATATTTATGAATAAAAACGACAATAGGAAAACTGGTAATTGCCAGTTTTCCTATTGGCATTTTTATTCATAAATGTACTGATTTATATATATATATATATATATATATATATATATATATATATATATATATATATATATATATATATATGAAGAAATATAATCCTATTATGAGCTATATTTATGGAATAAAGTGTTCAATATCAGAGATAGAGCGTGTGTAAAAATAAAAAGTGAACATAAAGTCAACACTTAGAGGCGACAGTCAGTTTCATGCACTCGTGGCCTGACGTTTGTGTCTACAATGAAACAGACTGTCGACTCTAAGTGTTGACTTCTATGTTCACTTTTTATATTTATATATATATATATATATATATATATATATATATATATATATATATATATATATATATATATATATATATATATATATATATATATATATATATATATATATATATATATATATATACACACATTGGAGGGAGCGGGTGGTTAGAACGTTCGAATTCTGACCATGAGACCCAGGTACGAATCTCACCATGGTCGATTTGTCAAAAAGGAGTCTTCCTGCTGTTATAGTTACAGTATAAACAACAGAGCAGACGTCTGCATTAGGGATTGGCTAGCCACACTAGTGGACGAGTATCCTCGAATAAGAGTGTCCAGCTTTTTTATATATATATGGATATTGAAATATATATATATACATATATATATATATATATATATAAGTGAACATAGAAGTCAACACGCAGAGTCGAGTGTCTGTGTCATGCTTATATGCAATTATGAAACAGACTGTGGTCATTAGACGTTAGCTTCAATGTCCACATTTATATTTACATAGGCTCTATCTTTGATATTGACCACTACATCATATCTTAAAACTATATTGTATCTTATGTATATATGTGTGAGTGTGTCTGTTTGTGTGTGTGCGAATGAGAGAGAAAAGTATCTATGTACTAGTTGAACCGTATCTTGAAGAACATTGTATAGTGCTTTATAATTTTATTAACAAAACAATGTAATTAATTTTGGCCTTTATTATGAGTTTTATTTTTCTTTATCTTCATATATGAGTAAACATAGACAGCTTAATGAGAAAGGGCCTATTTGATCTTAAAAGCATTATTACAAGATAGATAGATAGATAGATAGATAGATAGATAGATAGATATGAACAGAATGAAAGAGATAGATAGACAGATTTTAATAATGTTCTCCTCTCTCTCTCTCTCTCTCTCTCTCTCTCTCATCGGATTGTTATTATTAGATACATTTTCATATTTTTCCGAATGAGTGATGAATGTTTTTCTTCCTTGACGATGATTGACAGCGAGATATTGTGAGCTCTAGAAAGTTATCGATCCGATAAGGAAAGGGATTTTTTTACAAAAATCTGCTGCTGCTTTTGTCATTCGGTTCTATATTGGGAATTAGCCAGGACGAGAACGTTTTATAGACAGATAAATTATTGGGTATATACTTTGAAAATGAAATTTTCTATATAAAATTATATACAGCGGTTAATTAATTATCATTCGATGTTCCGAAATATGAATTTACCATTTTCCATTGTTCGGATGTGATATTCTAAGACTTTTTAAAAATCATTTCACCCCAAGCAAGGTGAGAATGCCACTAGTACGCAGGGAGTTACAGAGTGTGAAAGTGAGAGAAAGGACTTGGCATAACATAAAACGTAAGGTCTAGATGGCGTAAGAGGGACTGAGGAAAAGATAAAAGATGAACGGGTTTCAAACGACAGAAAACGACGTTGCAAATATATTTTTGCTGATTATCGTTTGCAGAGAAGCAAGAAAACGGAAAGGATTTCCACTGACGAGAAGTGCGAGAAAAGTAACTGTTGGAGTAGACGTAGCGTTTACATTTGGCTATTTCATCATTAAAAGGGTGGGACCTAGATGCCAATCAAGTAACACGCTTAAATATATGTAGCTGAAGCACGCGGGAAAAAAAGCTCGTAAGATCAGTTGCCATGGAAATATTTGTAGAAAAGACAGCGGGAAGCCACATATACAGTTGGACAAGTGACTTGTGTCGAGATGCCAAGTCAGGATCAATTACAATGCAGATCCTTTTTTGAATTTTGTCAAGAACCTTCAGACGAATATCAGGAGCACCAGACCAGATATGGCAGCAGTAGTACGCGACCGAATGGTAGATTTGTAAATATGCAAGACGGACTCAGACAAGAAAACACTTCTAGCACGACACAGTGAATCACCATTCCTTGCAGTAGATGCAGCTGTTGATTTAATGTAGTTGTTCTACTTCAAGTCAGTTGAAAACGTAAGGTCAAGATGGCAGAGTGTGACGGTCTTCAGAATTCGAGCATCAGCCATGCTGATGGCCACCAGGGTAGTTTTTCTGTTGTGGTTAAATGAGAGCAGTTTCGTTTTGGAGTCATTTAAATTTAATAAGTAATTTCCTGCTCTAGTTAACCACTGTTTTGACGTCGTTTTTAAGAGCAGCGGCAAGGTTAACATTGTCAGCTCTGACGGATTTGCTATTGAGACATGTGTATATGGTAGTGTCATCTGCATCAATATCTACTTGGGAACTGATGATATCAGGAAGATCATTGAAAGAAAGAGCCAAGGACCCGGAGTAGAGCCAGTTATGTAGGTTCACACGAGTTTTATTTATTGATTGATGCGTTTTCTACGGTTTATCAATCTATTGCAGGTTATTTAAAGATAGAAAATATTTTATATTGGAAGAATATTTTTAATAATAAAGAGTTAGTGATACTAGCTGTTATGGTAATTTAGCCACTCTCCCAGTAATAAATAGATGCAGGTACTGCATTTTGGTGATGGAAGTCGGACCGAACATTCTTGCTGTAACACTCTCGTTTGTATATGTTTGCATTACTGTTTCTGTTAATATATTTGTTTAACTCAATCACTTTCTTTGTGTCTATATTTCTGGCCCTAACAAGGCCACAACACTAGCCTTACTAATTAAGTTATCACTGGAGAGTGAAGAGATGGTTTCATACATTTCCCAAGAGTATTTACGCACAAGTGAATGTAATGAACCCAACGGAAACTCGAAATCGGTTCTTCTATTAACAATTCCCAGCCATTATTCATTACCCTTCACGCACATCCAGGCTTACAGCACCTAGTATTTCGAAGCGGTCTCCCATCTAGTTACTGACCAGATTCTATGTTGCTTAACTTCGATGATCCTACGGGATCGGGTATTTCAAACTGAAGTTTCAATTCAAGTGATGTTCACTTACACGCAAATACTCTTGGTAAAGGTACGAATCCACATCTTCTCTCCAGGTATGGGTTAATTAGTAAGAATTACGCTACTAAACCATAAATTATTTCCCCCAAAAGTGTACTTAATTTTAAAAAAATGTGTTCTGACTTTAAATAATCTTCAAAGGGTTGATAAGCAGTAAAAAACGAATGAATCAATGAATGTTATTATATACCAAATACACATTGCTGTATCATTAAATTATTTCCTATAAATCTCACCTACGTTATTTTCTGTGGCACAATCATTAATTTTCTCTGCACTGTATATATTCCGCTCTAAGTACATTAAACATGCTATACGAATATATATATATATATATATATATATATATATATATATATATATATATATAGAGAGAGAGAGAGAGAGAGAGAGAGAGAGGAGGCACGGTGGAGTAATGGATAGTGGCTTGGATTGAGGAATCGCAGAGCCGAGTTCGAATTCAGTCGAATCCATTACATTCACTTACGTGCTAATACCCTTGGGAAAGGTATGATCCTCTTCATCTCCCTCCAGCTACGTGTAAAATAGCAGCACAGACTGGGTTCTATAGCCTTGGATGGCAACTGGTCTAGGAGAAGGACAACTCTGAATTCAAACCTGCGGAGGGTCGTTTGGGAACCTTGTGGCATTCGGTGCACCAGGTTTCTGTATTCGTCCCTTCACCACTATAATCAAATCTCATGTGCCGATGTCGGTTTCCTGGAAACTTATCGGCCTGACCCTCATACGTCGAACTCGACGGGAGAGTCGATTATATATATATATATATATATATATATATATATATATATATATATATATATATCGCTGCCGACACTTGAGCTTGAACACAGATCGCCAATGAATAAACACAGGCGACCCCATCATTGAATTAAGTGGATCATTTGACCATAGAGGAAACGCATACAGTAGTCGCGTGACGTCTAAATGTTCGCCATTTCTAGTCTATGCTATGTTACTATACGAATCGCTTTTTTTACTCTCTCCTCTGTTTCTATACGGACCATTATTCCCTACTCTTCTATATATTATTACTCTATTCTGGACACGATACGGATTACTGTTCGAGCGAGTATTATCGAGCAACACCATGCGATGACAAAGTCTCTACTACAACGAGCATTACGAAAGCGAGAACGAGTATTCGTTGGCATTACAAAAAAATAAACGTATACACATACTTTCAGCGGAACGTTTATTTGCTCCGACACGCGTATTTCATAGCTGAAATATCCCTATCGTCAGAAGTATTCCAGATGACATTTGTATTTTGTACAAAAGAGTACAATATATTAGATTTGATCAAAAGAAAGAAAACTTTGAAAGGACATACTATGCCACCATATATTATTGGCAAAAAGTTTGCGTCAGAAATTCTTCGAGTATTTGAATATTTAGGTTTAACGTCTAGGTTTCTGTGTCACCGACTTTGAAATGATTAAAAGCTTCCTCCATAAAAAAAAGAAAAAACACTAAGAACTCAGACATCAAAAGTCTCTAAATTAAATGATCTGTATTTTCTTGGGAGTCTGTTTAGCTAAATCTAGGAAAATCAGAAAAAATGCATAACTTTAAAAGATGACTTTTACGTCAAAGTAAGTTCAAATCACTTCAAGGGAAATTTATTTGTTTTTTTTTTCAAAATTATAGAAAAAAAAAACGGAATTAGGTATTAGGATTAAATGTTTATATGGAGAATGGAGTTACCATGATAGTTTCAGAATTTTATATAAAATGTTACAAATAGAGTTCATTTAACCAGCCATTTACATACAAGCGCAGTTATATGAGATAATTGTATAAATCAAGTTTTGTTCTCGTTTTATAAAAAAAAAAAAAAAAATGATGTTAGAATTAATGTGTGGATGACGAAACAATTTAATACTACATTTTTAATTATGACAATTATGTTAAATTTTTGGAGATAGTGATTTATTCTGAATGTCGTTCGTAAGAGGAACAGTCAAAAATACGAATCAAGAATTGCAGTGATCAAAATTAATCATGTAGCTAGGGACTCGATGGAACGATATGGAATCAACGTGGTCGTTTGAAAGAATATAGAAGCAAAAAAGCCACTTCAAAATGATACAGTTGAAATTCCTTGGACACATAATGAGGAATGGAGAATTAGATACTTACGGGACATAATGAAGTCAGTAGGGGCAGTAGGAAAGCTGAAATTAACTACTTCACGAAAAGAAGAAGTTTATACGTTTTTTTTTCTTTTGTTTTTTGTTTGTTTTTTTTTTGGTGGGGGAAGAAAATAATAGCTTAGCGATACAAATCTTACTAATTAACCCATAGCTGGAGGGAGAAGAGGTGGATTCATACCTTTCACAAGGGTATTTGCGCAAAAGTGAATCTAATGAACCCAGCTCTCCGATTAAAAATTCCCATCCATTACTCCCGCCACACATCCACGGTTACAGCACCTGGTATTTTCAAACGGTCACCCAACTGCGTACTGACCAAGCACGACGTAGATTAACTTCGGTGAACGCAATGGAACCGGTGTTCAGCGTGATGTAGCCGTAAGTCGCGAAAATGCTTAAAGCCATTTCAGAGATTATAAGGTTAGAACTGGTTAAAATTATTTTGTAATGTTCCCAATTAATTTGGTGTTTATGGAAGGAAAACTATTACTTTTTTTAAAAATCGAGTTCACCTAATGGAAGGCGGTAAAGCCTCTGAGAAACAAGGGGTAATTGGGTATTAGGCTATAGGCCACTGTCGATTTTCGTTTCATTCCGTGGACATAAAATTTATATGAAAAAATTTTACTTGATTTCGGGAGTTTCGATGCCGTAGAGTCTAAATGTAAAAAGTTCTCCAGGTGAGAATTGCACATTTTTTTTATAAATTGCATTTAAAATTGAATATTTTATCGGTAAATTTGAGCATAAAAATCAATTAAGGGAGGTAATAATTGAGTAAATATGACGTTTCTTAGGCTAGTAGTTATCTCCCTTAAATTCAAAAAATTTGAAATACGGCGAAAATGAATTCCCCGAATATTTGTACAATACATTTTGATGGCGATGAAAACAATAGGTACAATTTGTGTCATGCTAGCATGTATTTAAGAAATCAGATTATTTCTGTGGAATCACCAACATCTTGGCCTCCTAAGATCAATAATGTAACTACAGAATGTGCTATGAAGATAATTCCTGTAGAACTTTTTAATGCATTGGCATTGATGTGTGGTCTTTCTGATGAAGTTGAAATGAAGAATAGATTTATTACTGTGTCTGAGAAAGATAAGAGAAAGCTACATGCCATAGCACAAGATATTCTGAACCTTTCTCACAGAGGAAATTTGTTTTTACCAAAGCATTATGCACTGGGAATGGCTGTTCGACACTGGACTGGTCAGTCAAAACTTATAGGCATTTTAAATGGGTTTGGGCACTCTATAAGCCACAGCGCAAATCTAGAACTGGATACGGCTTTGGCTGAACAACAACTATCAAAAAGTAACATTCCAGAGGGTTTTAAAAAGAAAACTTTTACACATTTAGCCTGGGATAATAATGACTTTGGAGAAGAAACTCTGAGTGGTAAGGGAACAACCCATAATACAAATGGGATCATCATAGTGCGGCAGCTAACTTCTGATCACTTATCACATATTGATGATGTCGCAGTAGAAAATGACCAGCCCCAAATGATCAGGAGTAAGAAGCGCAGTGTGATGCTAAATGAAGCGCCTATACCAGAATATTATGTGGCAAAAAGAGTAGGCCCTTTAGTACATTCAGTTTCAATTGACAGCATTCAAAATGCTTTATTTAAATCATTTTGTGAGACCAAAACAAGCATTACTGATTTGGCTATGACCATGATCAATATGCACTGTGAAAACACGACTCAAATTCCAGGTTGGACAGGTTTCAATATTCTTTTATTACAGGACCAAATACCACCAAAAAGCAATATTGGATATTTGCCTGTGGTCAATGGTAACCCAACTCAACTAAGTACTGTGAATGCAGTATTTTTGAAAAGTCTTGCTATTGCTGATGAGCTTGAAACTGAATATATTGTATTAACATTTGATCTTGCATTTTATGCTAAAGCACAGCAGGTACGTTGGAATGATGCCATGTATATGTAAAAACAGTTGTCAGACTTGGTGAGCTCCACACCTGCATGTCGTTTCTCAGTGTCATTGGAAAGTGCTTTGAAGATTCGGGGCTAGCTGATGTCCTACTTGAAGCTGGAACAGTGACACAAGGATCACTACCTGGAGTCATGAAAGGCAGGCACTATAATCAAAGTGTCAGAGTCATAAAAATGATGTCTGAAGCCTTAAGGAGGAAACTCCTATCTACTTTTATTGAAACACAAAGTGAAGAAGAAAAAGCTAAATTCATTACATTGTCTAAAAACTTATATTATGCTTTTCCCAAAACACAATTCCAAGATCTCTGCACATCAAATGATTTTAAAGAGTTTGAAAGCAAACTATCCGTATTTATTCAAGAGAGATGCAGCCAATTTCCAACATTTGCATTTTGGATGAGTTACTTGAATATGGCTGATTTGTTTTTAAATTTTATTCGTGCTACACGAACAGGAGATTGGGTCATTCACCTTAAATCAACATCAGAAATGGTACCTTGGCATTTTTCATATGACCATTTGAACTATGCTAGATATCTTCCTGTTTATATCTATGAGATGCTTGCTGTTCCAGATACCCACCCTGCAATAGCAAAGCATCTTGCTGCTGGGGATTTGTAGTTCAGCAACAAAACCAGTACCCCTTTAGTCAGACGGCAATGGACCAGACGATTGAACAGACAATGAATAGAGATAGCAAGACCAGAGGTGGGCAGATTGGATTCTCAAATAATGACAATGCTGTTCATCGTTGGATTTTATCTTTTAATCAACGTGCTCAAATCTCTAAAAACCGTACTGAAATGG